GCTCTACCACTTGAGCCACAGCGCCACTTCTGGCTTTTTTCTTTTTGCTTATGTGGTGCTGAGGAATCAAACCCAGGGCCTCATGCGTGCAAGTCAAGTGCTCCACCACTGAGCACCTTCCCAGCCCCTGATGCCTTTCTCAAACATGTTACATCACTTGTTCAGAAGCACACCCTGCCATTCTTTACATGGCCACAGCTGCTGGGACTTCACTATCTGAAAGATGGCCTTGCTCTAAATTGTGTTAATTCCATGGATATTTCGTAAGTATAGTTTCAAGCAATGGAGGGAAATATGTGGGAATGGAAATTAAGACTTGACCCTAATTTTTGAGAAAGCAATTGGAAATGTATTCAAGGGTACATAAATAAATATTTTACCTGAATATTTCATTTTTGGTGGTTATTTCTGTTTCTTGACACTGTTTACAGCAGAGGGAGGTACACTAACAAGTTAAAGAGGAAATGGTTAGCAGGGATGATAAGCATCAAGAAACTTTTTTTTTTTTTTTTTTTGGTCAGCTATGGGGCTTGAACTTGGAGCCTGGGCACAGCTCAAGGCAAGCGCTCTACCTCTTGAGCCACAGCGCCACATCCAGTATTTTAGTGGTTTATTGGAGATCAGAGTCTCACAGACTTTTGTGCCTGGGCTGGCTTTGAACCATGATCCTCAGATCTCAGCCTCCTAAGTATCTAGGATTACAGGCATGAGCCACCAGCGCCCAGCTAAGAAACTTCTTTTGATATATTTTACCACATTCGTTCAAATACTGGAAAATGTGGATGGAATAAAAACACCGAAACTACGATCTGCTAAGCATGTACTGACTGTTACCCTTACAAGGTCATTTAGTTTTATAAGCAATAAATAACCACAAATGTTCCATGATTATCATCATATGGTTTTATAGTTGAGAACTGCAAAATAGTTAAAGTTTCTCTGATTGATGCCAGCTGAAATTTTAAGTCAGTTTGACTGACTGACCCTTAACAAATTTGGGACAGGGATTCTACATTTTGGAATACATGCATGGACTGGCTGATCATGCCTAGTCCCCAAATTCAAAATGGTCTGAAACCTCAAAGGAAAAACATTCAGAGCATTCTGGATTAAATCTGAATGCTCAATCTACTTCAAAGTGTTTTTAATGTAAACTGTGACAGGCAATCAAGAGTTTCTCTAATTACGTGACTACATAACTTAATGCTAGTGACAGCTCTCTTGCTCCCAACAATAAATGGTTTTCTAGTTTGATTAAACATGAGTATCACCAACATTCACTTTACTTACTTTACTCATGATGTCTAATTCACAGCGGAGTCGTTGAATAGCACTACCAATTTTAAGGAGCTGAATTCTCAATACATCATCAATAGGAAGACAGGCAGCTACTCTATAAGAAAAATCTTTAAAAAAAAAAAAAGGGATGCTAAAATTAAAAATCCTCTAAAACATACCAATTACTATCTTCCTTTAAATAAAACCAAAGGCTCAAACCCATGTTAGAGGTCAATTAATTTCACTATATAAATGATATTATGTGTAAATAAAAGTGTAAATCCTACAACTAGAGTCACTTGTAAATAATGCAAGAACAGAAAAAGGTCTGTGCTCAGGAACTATATTTGAATGACAGACTTAATTGTAATTTGAGTAGAGAATCTGGCTAAAATGAGAGTATTCCCAAAATTTCATTGTTAACAAAATAGCCTGCTTCTCAGAATTATTTTAACCATGTCTTAAATTTCTTCCAGCAATATATAGGCCACAGCAAAGAAGTTGACTTTTCATACCTATTGGATTTGAAGGAAGAGAGTCCTCTTTGAGATTTTCATCCCATTCATGTAGCTGTTTCTTAATTCTATCCATTAAGGTTTCCTGGTTAAAAATAAAAGTAGCCATGGTAAAGTTCACAGACTTGTTAAAATTTACTATGAGTTAGTAATGAAACTGTACTGACAGTAGTTGGAACCATTATATGCAATAGGCAGTAAGATCTCAAACCATACACCCAAGTTCCAGTGTGCTACACTGAAACAATGGAGCAGGCTTCTCACCCACGTCCATCTGACCCAAGGATGCTCCCAGCTGCCCTGCAAGTGTTCTGTTGGCTTCTGCGTGGAACTGGTCCCTCTTCTAGGGCTTACTCAAAGCCTCTCCTGGCTCAGTACACCAGACTATGCAGCCTTACAGATCACTGCTCTAGCATTTGCTGTCTGCACATCTTATCTGGAACCTATTTACTACTAAAAATGCTGTTTTTTTCTTTCTTCAGCCTGTTCCATAATGGCTCAAAAGCTGAAGAACAGAGAACCGTTACCTTTCCCATAAATGATATGTGTGTCCTAAGCGCTCAAAACCTACTTGGTCAGCTTTCCCAGGACTTTGGATTTGTTGCACAGTGATTCACCTAAGGGGAACTTGTAATACTTGTTGAATATCAGCCAACTGTAGTAGCTTCTACTCCACTTTACCTATATTTACACAAGTAATTTGCTCCAAAGCAGAGTGACAGAAATTGAGCCTTATGTCTTTTGTAGATTCTCTAAGCTACTCCAACAGTCAGTGTGGTTTTGCTAAAAGCGTGGTGATGCCTGCTATTAAAAAACGGCAACAGAAGCACTCATGGAGCATGCTTATTAGACTAGAGATCAAGAGAAATGAGTTAACCATCTTGTTTAGGGGAAACCCAAAGAAAAATGGTATCTAAGACTTATTTGCTGTTTGTGTCCATCACTTCTCCCAACAGATTTTCAGGTGTTCAATAAACCTTGAAATTTTTCATGGTATCATGTCCTTACAGTCACTGACAGCTGTGAGAGGTGACTTTGGTCAGACTGTAAGGGTATATCCAACAGTCTCCTTCAAGCGTAGTCACTGGCACTCTTCTGAAAATGGCAGACTAGAGTGTAAGTCCAGGTAGGGCAGCCCCGCTCCCATGATCCTTCCCTAGGACACAGTTTACCACACAAGTTTAGGATACTTACCGCGTCATATAACGAGTACAGCCAGCGAGGCCATGAAGTCAGATTTGCACAGTGAAACTTCCTCTGCAAACAAACAAAAAAAGTCACTTAAAAGCAGGAAAATAACCTGAAAGAGCAACAGATGAAAACAGGTTTTATCCTGAAAAAACATTTTCTAATTTCAATAAAGCATATTATAGCTAATAACATAATACATTTTTTTATGCTTGACAATCATGTTTTTATACTCTAAATACATACTGGGGCTAGAACTGTCATTTCTATTGAAAAAGTACAAAAGCATGTCTCCTGGTTAGGTGACTACCATGTGAGAGCTGTGCTGCTCTGTGGGGCCAGCACTGCAGCCATCAAAAGTGCACTAACAGAAGCTCTAAGTTACTCACCGCCTAGGCTGCACAACAGCTTGTTGCTCCTAGACTACGCACAACACATTACTCAATACTGCAGAAAACTGTAACCCTTGAAATTTGTCATTTAGAATAATAAATGCATGCACTCCAAAGGCTTTTAAAGGAAGCCAATTTGTTCTAGAACACAGAATATGACTGAAATATGGATTGAAGCAATGCCATTAAAGCAACAAATGGGACAAGCTAAACAGCAACAATGCATCTTTACATCTGAAAGTTTATACTAGTTTATACTGCTGCTAGGCAGCAGACCAAAGCACTTTAAACACTAAATAAAGATCAGTAAAGCAAAATCCATAGTGTTCAAACATCTGTATATCACAGCAAAACAGAACAAAACCACTATGACACAGTATGACACATGAAATTTGGAGAGAAAAAGCACCAGACAAAGAAGCAAGGTCACACTCCTGAATCTGCAAGACCACAAGAACAGGTACAAAAGAAGAGAGATGTAGGTACACATTGGAGGACTTATCTGACACTGCACCTGTGTACAACTGTGCTTATAGCCTCACTGTATCACAAATCTAAAATCTAAGGAAAGAAACAGTATGCTCTATTCTATACTAATCACAACAGAAATACTGCTAAGGAGGAAGTCTTAGGTTGGAGGACTGACCTTGGCAGGTGTCTCTTGAGGAGATCATTCTTGTATTCAAGTATTTTAGGAATTGCTGCATGGGAGAGGACAGACCTATTCTCAAACACCCCTGAGCTGCAGCTCAAACACGGGGTCATTTAATGGAAACATACACACCCACACACACACAAAACCCACACACATACTACTACAAACGTCCTCATAGCTGAGGCTACACAAAGATTGGCTGGAATAGCCTCTTAGCTCCTCAGACAGTGCTTTATGCCTAAGAATCAGACCATAGGACCATAATGTGCTTTCCAGGAAGTTGTACTTTTAAGAGTAAATAATGCCAGGAACTGTTGTCAAGGCCCAATTACAGAATTTTAAAAAATGCTACCAATAACACAGAAGATAACCAAATATTTAGTAATAACAGTAGCAACTGTTAATACTGTGGCAAGAATTTTATTGCCTCTCGCAAGAAAATTAATGGCTGGTAGTAATATTACCATTTTAAAGACAAGGAAAGAAGCATCGACACCCCCATAAGATAGATAGATACCTTGTTAACAGTCGCAGATAGTAAATGCTGAGGAGCTAGGATTTGTACACAGGAAGTCTGCCTATCACTTATTCAACATACTTTAAAGCACCTAATGTTCAGGGCTTACATATCTGTGGGCTTAGATTTAGTAGAAAACTGAATCACAAATGACAAGGATCCAATAAAGTTTCAGTTTGGCGGGCTGATACACGTCCAATTCAATTGTTCAAATGTATTTTGCACCTTAAAATGATTACTTCTCCAGCACAAAAAGTGTCCAAATTTGGAAGTTTATCTGGCACCCATATGAAGATAAGATGGTGAATAAGAATAAATCATTTGTTGACATACAAATTCCAATTTGAAGTAGAACAGAATATTAGGGCAGAACAGGAGAGCAAAGCCACTCTGCTACCTACCATAAGAAAGCTACGTAGCTGCAATGCCTTTTTAAAGCACATCTAAAATTCTTGTTGGAATTATTCCAACAGATTCTACAAGCTCTATTTACAAATCAGTTAAATACTTTAAGGAGCTCTTCATATTTGTGAAGTGCTTTATGTTAATTACACATACTGCAGAGAAATATGCCAGAAAACACTAGTGAGCTTTGACAAAGCAACTGTCCAAAGTGACATCCTGTAGATAGCTTCCAATTTATGAGTCCTATTTTATATCTGAGTCTAGCAAGATTATCAACTTCATATTAGACAAAGAGTTTAAGCACCTAAAAATGACCAGTGCCTGATTCTCTTCTCTAGGTACCATTTATTCTGGGAAAAGATTTACTACTACAAGCCAGCAAAAAGGCCTACATGTGAATCCCTCTCACCCCTTTTTTTTGGGGGGGTATGGAATCCACTACATATTACCTATGGCTTTAGCTTTGCCTTCCCACAATGGAGGATATTAAAGAAAATGTAGAATTCTAACTAAATGGGTCTTTGAAGGTCAATTAAAATGGAAAGGAAATGCAAGAACACCAAATATAAAGATTAAATCATGACCATTGATTTCTTTCCTTTTTTTTTTCTTTTTTTGTTGGTCGTGGGACTTGAACTCTGGGCCTGGGCGCTGTCCCTCAGCTCTTCAGCTCAAGGCAAGCGCTCTACCACTTGAGCCACAGCACCACTTCCCACTTTAAATAGTAACCAGTAACCAATGATGTTCATTTACTGCTTCAATTTCTACTATAATTGACAAAGCAAATTATACAACTAACTCACTCCAATAAACTAGAAGGTAGCAGTTCCTTCTTGGTAATAAGAGCTGCAGCAGAGTACATTACTGTGGCTCCCTAAGGCTTACAAGCAAATGCAGCCATACCCACAGAAGAAGCTGGGTGGGGTAAACCACCTGACTACAAACAGCCACAATGTCATGAGAAACGAGCTAAAGAACAGCAGTGAGGAGGCATGTTAGCTGTATTTGTACTTACACAAATAGCAGCGATTACAACACGACATAATACAACACAAACAAACTGACCCAAAGAGGAGGTAAAGTGAAAAACACTCATCTATGACATCACTGAGTTTAAAACGGTGAGCAATTTGGAAAAAGGGGAAATCTTATCAGGAAAACACATGGATCCACACTTTCCATGAAATTATTATATAAGATGTACAAGGAAATCACAGGAGCAGTCTGCTTGGTATAGTTGTGACTCAGAACACAGAAACAATTACAACAATTCCACTACATACAAGGGAGGAAAAAAACAAACAGGCCACATTCCAAACCATTCTATCGAGACTACGTATTGATAGCTAACCTTGACATACTCTTATTTAAAATTATGTTCAAAATTACTAAGAAAGCAAAATTTTCCCCAGCCAGGAGGAGATGTAAAGTATCTTTATCAGGTTTGGAAAAGAAGGTTTACACACATAGTGATAATACCTTACACCTTAACAATCCTACTTTTAAGGCTGTTTGGAAGTCTTTAAGCAGGCTAATTATATCACATACTAGAATATTTAGAAATACTCATTGAAGCATTTTGTACTGTGTAAGATTTATTGGTCAGCTGAAGTACACAGACTAAGAAGTCTACACACACCCACACAGTAATTCATGTGCCTGAGGCCCTTCAAGTACCCATTTAATCCAAACTTTCCTTTACAACCAGAGGAATTCTACAGAAAGAACACTGCAAGTGAAAGTATGTGGTCAAAAGTAGAACACCCCTTCATGAATAATCTATGCTCATTTCCACAAGACCCACTATTTGACACCTACATTTAAAACCTTCATTACTCTAACTACAAAGAGTAAGGGATAATTAACAAAGAACTTTTATGTTAAAATAAAAACATTTATGAAGTCTGAAAAGGCCAGTTTAGAAACCAGTACATTTTCCCTTTAAGCAAGAATGAAAAATAGTAATTATTTTATATGTGAATATACGCATCTCATAAATGGTTAAGGAGAATTATTTAGCCAGAAGAACATTATAAGAACCAATGCTCAATCACTGAACCCAGGGCCTTGACGCTGCTTAAAAAGGGGCTTGACCACTGCTTAAAATAGAAATTCTTTTGCTGGTAATGCAGTTTGAACTCAAGGCCTCATTTTTGCTCAGCTGGTACTCTAATATTGAGGCCCTCTTCCAGCCCAGCTTTTGCTAGTTATTTTAGAGATAGAGTCTCACAGACTTTAGTGCCCAGGCTGGCTTTGAACCATGATCCTCAATTCTCAAGTCTCCTTAGTAGCTAGGATTAGAGGTGTAAGTCACCGGCACGTCGTAGCTCAAACAATACTTGTAAAGAACGTCAAGCCTCAAGTCCATTTTTGCAAGGTCAATAGTTGTCAAGTAGGAGAGCAAAAGAAGCTAAGGAACAATGCCCAGGCCCTAAGTTCAAGCCCTAGAACTGGCACAAAAAACAACAAACAAACAAAAAACAAGAGCCAAAACACTTTTAGAGGCCTAGAAGAAATAGAATATTCTCTATTTCTATTATCTGAGTGCTATCCTAAGTGAATCATTTCTCTTTTATTTTTTCCCTCCAGTGAAAGTGCTCTACTACTGGAACCATGTTCTCTACATATTTTTTTGGTGGTGCTGGGATTTGAACTCAGGGCCTCTTGCTTGCTAGCCTGAGCTGTGCTTGTAGCCCTGTTTGTTGCTGGTTATTTAATTATATATTTTTTGTGTGTGTGTGCCAGAGGGGCTTGAACTCAGAGGATGGGCACTATCTCTTAGTTCTTCTGCTCAAGGCTAAAACTCTACCATATGAGCCACAGCCTCACTTCCAGCTGTTGTTGGTGGTTCAGAGTCTCATGGACTTTGACTGTGCTGGCTTCAAACCAAGTTCCTCAGGTCTTAGCCTCCTGAGTGTTAGCGAGCTTCCAGGTATACACCATGAGCATCGGCTTCAGATTAGTTTTTAGTTAACGTCTTGTCAACTTCTCTTCCCAGGCTCGCTTTGCCTCCACCTCCCAAACAGCCGGTAATACAGACATGCAGCACCATGCTCAACCAAGTATCTGATAAGATCACAGAAACTGCTATGGAATTAAACATCACAAACGATAATTAATACACAACTGGTAAAAAGCTATTTTCAAGAATGCCTTACGACTGTGGCACTGTACTTTATTGTGAACTGCTATCCCTTAAATAACCATCTGTGAAATTTTTAAAAGTTCCAACTAGGATCAATACAGCCAGAGTTCTGCCACAGAAGGTATCTGGGGAATGAAACATGACCGTTGTTTATGATTCTTAAGTCAGGTAAAATGGAACTTGCCATTTTTAGAAGATGCATAAAAAGTTGGTTTCTCACCTTCTGGTATTTCTGCCACCACTGACATGAATACTGGTCTTCCCACGATACAGGCTTGGAAGGAAATATCTGACACTTATTGAGGGACTCTAACTGCACTGCAGACATGGTGGAAGGCAACACACACTCAGGAAGAATTTGCACTTTAGCCTGCTGGATTCTAAAAGAGAACCAAGCATGGTGTTCATTTGTAAGATAAACAGACTCAATCTACAACACTCAGGACATTCTTAAACACTTAAGTTTCTCCAGTTTTGTTGGAATGTATTTGCCAAATGTGGATATTAAGATACAAGAAGTTTTCAGAAAATAATTTTATCTCACAAGGCAAAAAGTCAATACCAAAGACAATGCAAGGTTTTCAGTCTCACTGTGGAATGAATAGAAAGGGACAGTCATTTCTCAAACAGTTTGTTTTTCAGTATCAGTGCAAAACCTACTACCCTTGCTTACCTGGCACTTCTATGTTGATGTCGTTGGAGTCCTTGGCAATGCCAAGCCTCCCCACCCCCCCTTCCCTCCACAGCCTCATTCTTACTTTCATTCTTTGCCAGAAATCATCCTGAGGATCACAGGAAGGAGGAAAAAAAGTCACAAACCCATTTGTAGATGGTTAAAACACCTGGAAAATTGCATGTTGCTTTTATTTCCCTGTGCCCTCCTCTTTTCATTCTCAAACATTTCATGGGAGTATGCAAAAGATCAAAATATAAAGATTTTTTTGAAAGCAAAACACTAGTCATTTCCAAAATGCTATGGGAGACTACCATAACTGCAAACACCTTAGAAATTAATGCAAACAGAGAGGCTGAGCACATGAGGCAGCTTCCAAGGAGGCACTGGATCTCCTTCAGCATAGCTTTGGAAGGAAAGAGTATATATAACTACACTGATAGAACAAAACACTTTGAAACTGAGTCCATGCGTCTCTGTCTCATCTTAAGACTCTGAGAGTCATCTTTCATCATCCCCACTGTCTTGACCTATGAAAAGTTATAAAATTCTGTTATTTCTATTTATGAAATATCTACATGTGTCTCAAACAGCTTGGTGTTTTTATCCAACCACTACATGACTGTTTTACTACCTAGGAACATTTCTGTTATGGGAGCCATGTCTGCATCTGCTGTACCAGCTGTTGGAACGGCCTCGGGGGACCAAGGGCTGCCCCACGTGGTCTCCAGTCAGCACTCCTGAGGCCCTGGCGTGTGCACACAGGCCTGGCTCCCTCCACCACTGACTTCTGTGTCCAACTTAAGCTAATTCTGTTTCTTCCCAATGTGGTTATGGCAGTTGCTGTGTGATTCTAGCAATTTGTGTTATAAAATGAGTGAAATAAAAGTGTAAGGATAAAATTACTTCAATGAACATTAAAACATAAATACTGCTTTCAAATTAGGTAAACATCTCCAATATTAGGAAAAAGTACACAAATCCGAAAAGATTCTGTACTTGAGCTGCCTGTCTTCAGACACTCTTTAAGAAAACCTAGAGGTATACACTGTAAATGGATAATGAATAATGAAGAACCAAGAATATCTATGGCTATAATGTACTTTCAAGAAAACACCTCATTTGTGCCTCAAAAAAGAAAACCTAATGACCGTACGTTTATACATTTCTGGTTGAAATGTTTTTGAGATCTATGTCTAACTTTCTGCCTGATAATTACTGGCCTTGATCAAGGCAGGTAAGGGCTCACCTCTTGTAATTCCACTGAGGCTTAACCGTCCTTTTGCTACGCACTCAGGAAATAGGGATTTCTGAGGAGGGATCCTACACTGACCCAATGAGACTTCCTATGTTTTCATTCACTAAAGAAAAAGTTCACATATGCAGAAAATGCCAAAGAAACAAAGACAACATAGGGAAGGCTAGAAAGAAGCTATATACTTTTTATTCATATGACATCCTTTACATGTAAAGGAGAAAAATACAACTACATTGAGCTTCCCATGTGCTCTGGAGACATTTTGATGCACTGCACAGGGAATTAGTTTGGGATTCAGGACGTGGACTCAAGGAACTACCTTTCATATGACTACAGGCAAATTCCTAGTGGGGCTCGAGACACGGACTAAAGCCAGGGCAACCAATTCCACAGAGGTCTCTGGAACAAAGACGTCTTCTGAGAGACTTGAAGAGGCTTATGCACTACTTAGGGGACACACCCTTTCAAAGTCTTGTGTAGTCCTGTCAGATGGATTTTAATCTTCACTGCCATCAAACTACATTCTTTCAAATGACTGCACACTTAAGGATTTACTGCCATCTTGTGTTCAAGAGTTTTTACACAATCAAATAGCACTAAAGTCAAGGTAAGCTGAGAAACACATTGTCCTAATTCAATTTCCATTTGGCTTCTAGCAAACGATAATAATAATAATACTCAAAAATAAAGTTGTATGAAGCATGTAGATGAGTAGTGATCTGAAAAAGGAACTTAGCAAAATCCACAGTAACAAACAACTGGCTGATGATGATAGTGCAGAGTCCTCCATGGCCCCTCTGTCCTGTAGGACATTTATTACTGTAAGCCTCAGGGCTATATGAGCTGCAAGCGCAGAGTGAATGTTCTGTGGAAACACTAAGAAGAACTCAGCACCCCCATCTCCCAAGAGGTTTGGTAGCCCAACTCACATGAAATCTCTAGTTTCACAGTGCAGCGATATGAAAGCCCACGGAAAGTCCCATTTAGGAATGAAAGCCTTCCTGAGCTCACACAGCTCACATTCTTCTAAATCTTCAACAAAACCCCCAAAATTTCTCTGTCCTGAAGATGACAGGTGCAGCCCAGAGATATGATGAGATGTTCAATTCTGGCCACAGATCAAAGGCCAATTCCCCAAAATAAAGGGACATCCAAGAAGCTATCTATAAAACAGATCCCTTTATGCAGAAATGAGGATCACAATTTCACAGAGAACAGCCAATGGTCAAGAAAAAGCCTTATCGCCTTTTTTTCTTGAGAGGCTTAGTTAAGGTAATTAGCATTTAACAACACTGCCACAAAAAAAAAGTATTCAGTGACTATACAAACAATTCTAACATGAGCTGCACCTAAATGGGTAACACTAAAAACAATTCTTGGTAAACTCTGAAACCCTACAAAACAACAGGACTTAGGTGTTTCTCAATCACTTTGTGTGTGTGACAGAAAATTCATACTGGAGGTTGGCACAGTTCGGCACAGGAATGCTTGCACACAGCTCCCTACCTAGGTCTCTATCCCTTATGCTCTGGAGAGAAGTTCTGCATCCCAAAGAAGCCACACTCAAAGGACACTTCCCTTTGACCCATACTCAAATTTGGAGGAATATTACAATCACCTGGAAATCATTTTAAAGAGATGTCCAGCCTCACCACACACTAAACCCCTCTCTGGGGATGAGGCTAGGTTGGGACTCAAGCTTATACATTTCCAAAAACTTTGCAGATGGTTCCGTGGCCCACCAAGGTTGAAAACTGCTGGGAAAGAGAACAACTAATTCAAACTTGCAAAACAGGAAAATTCAGTAAGACAAAATGAAAAATGAAATCCCAGCAAACTACTGCACTGAGAAGCTCACAAAGGTTTAAGACAAGGTACTTCTTACCCATCTGACTGTGTTCTTAGCTCAAGGACTTTGAACCTCTGTCTGCCAATTGCTTTCACTTTCACGACTTCGATTCCAAAGTCCTGCTCTTCTCGGTAGGCATAGATCTCTGCTGTGGTTCCGAACTGCGCCTCCCTCTCCTGTGTATTACTTCCATGGAACATATTAAGAGGGAAGATTTCAACGTTTAATTTTTTAAACACAATTGCGTTGTTATTATTAAGGTATACTGAGGGGTTACCATTTTATAAGTCAGGTAATAAGTACATTTGTTTTTTTGGCCAGTGTCATCCCTTCCTTCATTTTCTCCCAATTTCCCTCTTCTATCCCTGCCCACAGTTACATAGTTCATTTTGCCACATAGTATATACTGAATAGCATCACTGCAGTTTGAACAATTTTTTAAATACACAATGTTGCCAAAAGCAAGATATATGGGAAAACAATTTACAACACTCAATCCTCAGTGCAACATTTAAAAATTACATGGATAAAGCCAGGTGCCTCTAAGCTTAGCTTTTCAGGAGACTGAGATCTAAGGATCCAAGTTCAAGGCCAGCCTGAATAAGAAAGTCCAGGAGACTCTTATCTCCAATAAGCTAATAAAAAGCCAGAAATGAAGCTATGGCTCTTGTGGTAGAATGATAGCCTTGAGCATATGAAACAAACAAACAAACACCCTCAGAAAGCATACCTAGGCCTTGAGTTCAAGCCCCAGCACTGACTAAAAGAAAATTACATTGATATGCAACAAAGCTTCAAGAGGTACAATTAACTCCCTTTGGGGAAAAGAATGTTAATGACTGAAATGATCTAGAATTAAACGTTTTAAAGTATTATTTCCCAGCTGGGCATGGTGGTGGTTCAGGCCTTTAATTCTAGCTCCTTGGGAGGTAGCGATCTTGATCATTACAGTTCAAAGCTAGCCCACACATAAAGCTAGCATGACCTATCTCAAAAACGAAGAGGGGTGTGGCAGTGCACAGCTATATGACCTGAGCTACTTGGGAGTCTAGCTAGGAAGATCATGGGCTGAGCGCAGCTCTGGCAAAAAACACAAGATCCTTCCTACCTCAACATAAGGTATAAAAAGGCTGGGGGACTGCGGACACAGCAGAGTACTTAGCAGGCACAAGGCCTCCCACCACCCAAAGGTTTGAAAACACAATTAACTTTTTTTTGTACTGAAGATTGAACTCAAGACCTTGTGTATGTTAGACAAGTACTCCAGCCGTTTTGCTTATATTTTGTTTTTGAAATAAAGTCCAACTAAATTGTTCTGGTCTCAAATTCCATCTCCCTAACAGCATTTCCACACTCAACCCAGACCAAATAGTGTCTGCCTTTGTTAGACAATCATTTCCGCTTCTTATCTGCAGCTCTGTACTAGGGGAGCAGCGGGGCAAGGGCAGAATGAACAAAGAACACTTCCTGCTTTTATTTCCTGTCTCTGCTACAGACTTCCGGTATTTACCATGGACTACTTGAAGTACTACTGGTTTATCCTGGCACAACTTACGAATTCTGAGAAAGATGAAACGACTCTCAGAAAAGTAATCACTTACATTAAAATATAAAAGTCCTTTTTAAACAAAGAGAGTTCTAGAAACTAATTTTTAGAAATGTTCTTCATTAAATATAACAGAATAAGTTTTTCAAAATTCTCAACACTAAGATGGTAATGAAAATGAAAAAAGGTAGTCCAGTTTACACTTTCACACTTTTCTCAACAAAATTCTTTACCTCACATTCTGTGTTTGAGCAGGTGCTGATTTTAAGGACTTGAACTCAGGGCCTGAGCACTACCCTGAGCTTTTTGTGCTCAAGGCTAGTTAGTGTTCTACTACTGAGCCACAGTTCCACTGCTGGCCTCTTGGTGGTTAACTGGAGACAAGAGTCTCACAGACTTTCCTGCCCGGGCTAACTTCAAATGTCAATCCTCAGATCTTAGCCTCCTAACTCGTAAGGACTACAGTCACCAGCACCAGGCAACCTCATACTCTTATCAACATTTTCTATACGTAGCTTCCACTTCAACACTGACGTGGGTGAGACTACACAAGGGAAGGATGGTGGTAAGTAAATTTACCTGTATGCAAGGACTGCAAAGGTTCTGTCTTTCTGAATTAGATTCCGCACCATGCTGACTTCTTGAGGGCGAGAGAGGTGCAGAGGTAAAGTCTGCCCGGGAATGAGGATCATCATCACCTGCGGCAGCACGGGGATCACCTGACAGCTGTCATCGTCATGCAGAGTCCGGCCGTGGAACTCCTCCATATCCGCGCCCAGGTACTATTCAGAACACACACAACGCAAATCCAAGAGCAACGCATGAATGCCAAGAACTAATCAGATGCACAGAAATCTCCAACAGAATAGCAATATTTATTTACATAATAAATTTGCATACAAACATCCTACATGAAAATCTTTTTCCATCTAATATTTACTGCTAGAAGTAGAATCTCAAATCTTATGAAGAATCTAACATATACCACATTCAAGAATATTTACCAGGGGCTGGGAAGGTGGCTCAGTGGTAGAGCGCTTGCCTTGCATGGCTGAGGCCCTGGGTTTGATTCCTCAGCACCACATAAGCAGAAAGAAAAAAGCCGGAAGTGGCGCTATGGCTCACGTGGTAGAGTGCTAGCCTTGAGCTGAAGAGCTGAGGAACAGCACCCAGGCCGAGAGTTCAGGCCCAAGACTGGACGTTCCCCCTTCCCCCCCAAAAGAATATTTACCAACAGAAGAAACTTGTCTATGTCCGAATACCACAAATGACAAGCCTACTACAAGGCTGGTACATAGAATGGCACCCAGCTCCCAGTAGTCGGGAGAACATGTACTAGGGTCCACTGGTAACAAAGCCGTAAGCAAGTGACAACTCCACAAAGATTTACAGCGTGGCCCACTAATAAGCTGTTAAAAAAGTGGTTTCAAGTTTATCTACTGAAAAAATAGACTATGCCCTCAAAGAATTATACCAGACATAGTACTGAACTGCTAAATATATTAATCTGCTTATTCACTGAAAGAAAAACCCGTGTCCTCATCCCCAATCTCCATGCGGGGTAACATACAGCTAAAAGTGAGCCCTTTAACTTTATGGCCATTTGTCACAGGCGGATGTGTAGGGACTACATACTGTATGTGAGGTTGGCAGACTGGTGTCAAAGTTGATGATGTTTGGTTTTCTGGCTTCTTTGCTATCCTGGTCTTCAACTTCCATTTCATCTTCTTCTTCACTCTCTGCTGAAGTACAAAAAAGATGAGATACACTAAAAACATTGAATTCCTTTCCAAACCCACCATCCTTGAGAAAAGGGGCTCCAGACTGCACATCGGCGCTCTCTGCAGTGGCTAGGACGCAGCAGAGAAGGGGCCCGCCGCGCTCCCCACGAGATGGTTGCCTCCTGTTTTTTTTAAAGTTCAAGCTACTTTTTATTTTAGAACAGTTTACAATTTACAGAAATGCTGGAAAGACAGTACGGTGTTCCTGTATCTCCACTTTCCCTACAGTCCACATGGTATATTAGTGTGGTACGCCGTGACAACACAGTCATTAATATTAACACATTACTGCGAATTAAACTCTCCACGTGATGAGTGGACTTTCCTCGTTCTATGCAGGTGGCTCTTTCTGTTACAGGACCCCCTCCAAGGTACCACACTGCCCTGAAGCTGTCATGGCGCTCTGGTTTCTCAGTTTCCCTTCCTTTTGAAGGCTTTGACTGCTTTGAAAAGTTGGGTAATTTGTATACCCTCTCAATTGCAATGCTGTAAAATGTAATTCTCATGCTGAGCCCGAGGCTATGGTTTCTTAGGGAGGGAGAGCACAGATGCATGATTTCCCACTGGGCCCTCTGAAAGCCAAGGACTAAGGAAAGCCTACTCTGAAGGGTACTGTGATAAGCACTACAGCCGGGCAAAGGAAATATTGTGTCAACTCTCCTGTATACATTTTCTCTTCTCAGTTTCAGGCATTTGACACCTAAAATAAACTTAAACAAGACTATCTCTGAGCTTCTTTCCAGCTCTTAGCTTTAAAGAGCTAATACAAGAGAAAAAAAAACAGAAGAAACTAATCAAGTAATCAAAGATCTGTTAACTAAAACTGAATAAAGATAACATAAGAACATGCCAGAAATAATGCTGCAGCATTTTCCTAGGGACATTACTCCTTGGCTGTCACTATTTTATTTTAAAGTGAGTGCTTGTATAATTATTTTCACAAACATTTTGTTTTGTGAAGAGCTTAACTTTGAAAATAAAGTTGCCATGAAATATAAGACATACTTTAAAAGAAATACCCCAGGAAGCTTTTTCCATACACATTTCTTAAATTACAACTAAAGCTGACCCTAGCAGAGACAAGAATGGAAGTCAGAAAAAACTACACTACAAATACAGATGTCTTCCAATCATGGAGGAGCCGGTCCTGTCCATGTCACCGGATCAAGTCCGGCCTGTGCTATCCTGTCATCTTCCTACCTGAGATCCAGGACAAGGGTGGATTTCCCCGTCCCGTGACTGGCCACATCAGAAGATATGAGTGGGTGTCACGCGGAAGAGAATCCTACTGGCGGTCTAGAGCAGTGGCCAGGAACACTATTATTCTACTACACTGCACAGGTTCTCCTCACAACAAACTATGTCGTGTGTCGAGGCTGGGAGTGAGACTCTAAAGACTTACTCTCATTTCTGACCTCATGATTCATCTATCTTTAAACATCCTCAAAGTGTCTCAACCTAGAAAGTTATTAGCAATCACTCCATTGATTTCCTTTGTGCCCATCATTATTTAAGATAAACCATTTCTAGGTAGGTCACTGACAGAAAATACAAATGTTTTACAATAGGGTTAACTGCCTGGGGTTATTCATTCTTATAAGTTCATAGAAGGTTTGGTCAAAGAAATGAACATAACCATTTCGGCCTGTATGCAAACAGCCAATGGTCTAACACTGTACACATACTTTCTCCTGAGAATAACGACATTTCATGGGTGATGACAAAAAAATTAAAACTGCTGAGAAAAAAATCTTCCGTCTCAATTCTGGAAGCATGCCTTTCACCTGGAGAGACCCACTTTACTACATTAACTATTAGCTCAAATGATGGAATGATTGCTTTACATTTTAGCTCTCTGATTTCTAGTCTCTATAGGAATGTGTTATTTGTTATGTAAAGCTCGTTCCTCCTAAACATAGCCCAAATCCCACTTGCCTGACTTGGCTGTGTTTATCTATTAATACTTCATCATTTAGCTTGGATGAATTCTTCATATCTCAAATACCAGGCAACTCCTTGACACTTAAAGAGGATTACCCTTCAGAACAACCCATACTACATGGATTTATAGACATCCCATTATTTGCTCTTCACATAAAACTCACATTTAATTTAGAAGAACATGATGGTAGAGCTACCTCTCTGGGCTCCCTCACTTCTGACTTTTTCCTCCCAGACTGTTAAGTGCTACCAGGGTGAAGAGTGATGACTCATGCAGAAGCCTGTGTGAATGCCAACAGAACATCTGTATCCTCCCTCTTCACCGTTCTGCCTCCAACATTGGATTTGACAACTACAGGGTTGGGCTGAAGTCTCTAAAGAAACAGCTCAGTTCTTCTGTGGAACACTGACACACTTGCCCCTTTAGCATTTCAGTTAGGTTGGCTTCAAAAACAGCCACAGAAGCTAACCATGGTTTGGGTTGTGGAAAGTGGAAAGGGTGTCTTGTAGGAGGTTTTTTTTGTTTTTCAATCCATGTTATTCCCAGAGGACAAACTAATACTCCAAGCACAGTCGCCCTTAGTCAACAAGGTGAACTGGTGATTAGCAACCCCAGGAAGAAAAAACAACACAAACCCTAACCCCAGTGGGAGGAGATGCAAGTTCCCCAACCACTAGGACCCAACTTATCTCCTGAAACTTTTCTCCCGGAATCCCATCCTGATTGTGTGTGTGTATGGCCACATCTACCGCACCAGGCTCTTCTTCCCCAGTTCTTCTGACCCCCTACACCGGCGATCCTTCCCTGGGAAGAACCATATGGGGGGGGGGGGCTCAGTGCTAGAAAGGGAGGCGCTAGGTTACACTGCCAGCCCTGAAAGGAGAAAGACACTGAAGAGGATGCTCGGCGGCATTCACTTATCTGCAGCAAATCCACTGTCCCTGTGCACCAGCGCTCTCCACAGCCGGACCTCGAATGGGACCTCGACCAAGAGTCCAGCCGGCATTGCACGTCTTTCCATCCCCACAACCCTTGGGCCCAGTGAGCTCGGGGAAGAGGCGGGGAGGTGGGGAGCCCTTCATACAGCGACCTATGGCCTCCGGCCTCCCGCACGACACGGATCTTCTGTATAAACCGTTCCACATCCCCCTGGCACTCGGGGCTTCTAACACCAGGCCAGAGGCCGGATGTTCCCGAAAGTCAGAGGAAGGAAGAGGAGCCGAATTGTTGAGAGAGAGCGCGGCGCCCAGTTTCTTCAGGCAGGGCCGAGCCTGGGTGTCTGGTCTCGGCGCTCGCGTGGCCTCGGGGCCTCGCGCCGCCCTGAGCTGACCCGTCCCCAGGCTCCCTGCTACGAGCGGCCGGGGCGGGGGGAGGGGGAGGGCGGCAACCCCGGCTTTAATCCCACCGGGCCGGACGGAGAGCACGGGGTCCCTGGATCCCCAAATCCTGACCAGGCGGCTGGACGAAGAGCATGGGGTCCCCGGATCCCCGAAATCTCCAGCGGGCCAGGCGGAGAGCACGGGGTCCCCGAAGTCTCCAGCGGGCCGGCCGAAGAGCATGGGGTCCCCGGATCCCCGAAATCTCCAGCGGGCCGGCCGGAGAGCACGGGGTCCCCGAAATCTCCAGCGGGCCGGCCGGAGAGCACGGGGTCCCCGAAATCTCCAGCGGGCCAGGCGGAGAGCACGGGGTCCCCGAAATCTCCAGCGGGGCGGACGGAGAGCACGGGGTCCCCGAAATCTCCAGCGGGCTGGACGGAGAGCACGGGGTCCCCGGATCCCCAAATCCTGACCAGGTGGCTGGACGGAGAGCACGGGGTCCCCGAAATCTCCAGCGGGGCGGACGGGGAGCACGGGGTCCCGGCCCCAGCCCCCCCGGGCCCCGCCCCGCGGCCCCGCGGCCCCGCGCCCCTCAATCCCCCCCGGGTAAGCGGGGAGCTCGGAGCCCCCGCGCCCGGCCCAGGGCGCCCCCGCGCGGCCCGAACGCGGCCCGCCCACGCCGCTCGCGCTCCGGTCCCGCCCGCCCCGCGGCCCGGGCCCCGTTACCGAGCAGCAGCGGGAGACGGTTGCCCATGTCGTGCGCAGCGTCCTGCGGCTCTTCCTCGTCGGCCATGTCTGTTTACCCGCAAAGCAGGCTGGGACAGGGCGGTGCCGCCGCCGACGCCGCGGGGAGGGGCCGCGCCGCGCCGCCGCCGCCGCGCTCCGGGGCCACAGCGCCTCCTGGCGGCTCCTGGGAAACGCGCAGCGGCCCCGCCGGCCAGGGTGTCCGAGCTGGCGGTGGTCCCAGCCACACCGGATCAGGACGCTGGTGCTCGAAGTTCAGCCACCACCTCGGTCTTAAAGAAGAGGGGAAGCGCAGCAAATGCACACCTGTTCATGCAATCCGTGCGTCCCTCCCCCCATTTCATGCATGTAAAAACCTTGTTATTTATAAAGGTGCTGTCCAGGGGGGCTGCGGTTACCTGAGTCAGATAGAGAGCACATTTCTTGTTGAACAATATCACCTGCGGAAATACAGAAATGAGAGTCAGGGACATGCATCCGTTATCTTAAGTGCGCTTGAAGTGGAGCTGATCCCCCCCCCCCCCACACACACACAATTTCTGCTCTCCTTCTGTGTAACCCCAGCTTCACCTGCAGCAAGCGTTTGCAATCATGGTTACCTATAGAATCAAACAAGGCCTATCATTTTTAAATAAAAGTGTCAGACTGCTCGTGATGATTTTCAGTGACCAGGTCATTAGCTGGCGAAAGGAATTTTTTTTTTAAAGATAAATTCTCCTCCTGTTAGACAGGTTGGCTCTGTTCTTCCTGTTTTCTGGCCTAGGTGATGCCCTCAGTTTCCCCAAGACTCCCTCGGTGCTAGTCTCACCTAAGTCGGGCCACAAGGGGTCTCCTGAACACACTGAAAATGTGTCACAGACTTCAGGAACTCCTCGACTTTCACTGTGATATACTAAGGGCTGCTTAGTAAAATAAATACATACATACATACAAATAAACCCTTGGTTTCCAAAGAAATTTATGAGGATTATTAAACTCGGCTAGAGACTGCAATTTTATATATTTAATTAAGACGTCTGGCCACCACCCAATGCACTGGCAACGATGCCTATCTTTTACTGAGAATGTACCACGTCAAGCCAAGGGATTCGCAGCACTCTCTGGAACGATGCATGGGTTTTTTTTTCAATTGTTATTCTTATTGCATACACTAGTATAGTTGAGAAAAATGTAGAGATTTGCTCTTGTCCACATTTTATAGACTGATTCTCTTTTTTTTACTTCCTAGGAATTTTGTTGATACTGGCACTCACTCTAAGTCTCCAACTTGATTATTATTTTTTTCTTTAGAAAGCAAGTATGTATAGGATGAATAGAGTTAGGTATTTGGCACTCACATACTGAGTAAGTTAGGATCTACAAAGTCGCAGGCATGTTTTAAAGCTCAGCCTGATGGCTTCTGAGCTTTACCACATGTCCATTTTCCTGTTGACAGGAATCTGTACAGGCTGAAGATCCTTGAGCAACCTACATATTCCAATCAAGCAAACAGACTAACCAGCTCTCTGCAAAAGCAAAGAGTCCCGGATTTCTCATTGCATTAATCTCCCCTGCTCCCCACCCTGTGCATACAATGCCACAAACTCTTTCTTTGCCAGGTTTGGGCTGGGGAAAAAAAGCACAGTGGTGAAGCTCTTATTATTCTGAAACACTCAAGCATAAATCTTGCTGATGGCAGAGATTGGCCCAATGCCTCCGGCAGTGATATAATCGATGAGTACAGAGAACAGAAAATGCTTATCATTTAACCCTTTTCCAGCAACATATATTTCCTGCCTCACTCAGTTCAATTGTCCCTTTCCCCAGAAGTCCTTCCTGATTCTTTAAAGTGGTCAAGGCATTTACATTTTACTTGGTTGTTTTTCTATATTCACTTCCCCAGCTCTGCAGAAGAGCTAGTGAGGATAGGAATCATGTCCCCTAGCACCTTTGTGTGCTCAGTGAGTAACAGAGTGTGGAGTATTGAAAAATGATTGTTGAACGGAATTGTTGGCCTCAGAGAAGCAAGTCTGGGCCTCTCTGTAGACAATCCTGGTCTGCACTGTTAGAATGATGGCTTGGAGGAAGGATCTTAACGTCTTTCAATTCAGGCTAGACCTCTAGATCCCAAGCTAGGACAGAAGAACGGGGAAGAAACAGAAGAAAAATGGTTGCAATGAACTACCTTCACCCAACACATTCAATCTGCCAGGAAAGACTTGTATTCATCATTTCACAGAATCCTTCCAGTGGCCCAGACACAGACAGCTCTAAGACAACTGAACAGGAACTGAAGAATTCTGTGACTGAACTTCACAGTGTGGAGGGAGAATTGGACCAGCCTGTCTTCTGATAGAATTTGATAATTAGTTGAAAACAATGAGAGAAATAATTAGGGACAGGAGGAACACTCCACGTGAGAGATGGGACGGTGCTATTCCCCTCACAAACACACGGGGCATTCTTAGGAAATGCTGTGTGTGTGTGTGTGTGTGTGTGTGTGTGTGTGTGTGTGTGTGTGTGTGTGCTTCTTTTTTTTCCAACTTTACTTTATTATTATAAAGGTGATGGACAGAAGGATCACAATTACACGAGTCAGGTAATGAGTACATTTCCTTTGGTACAGTGTGTTCCGTTCCCTCTTTCTCTCCCAGTCCCTCTCTCCTATCCCCACCCATGAGTTGGAGAGTTCACATTTATCAGTGTCCAGTGAGCTCCACTACTGTACTTGTTTTTTACTCCTTTTCTTCGGATTCTATGACATCCCATCCACCCTCCAGAAGATGGGCGCGTGAATACACGGTATAGAAGGTAAAGAAGACAGAATCATCAAGAAACTCAAAAATTAAAAAGACAAAAAGTCTTTCGTTTCCCTATCCTAAGAGTTCATTTCAGTATGTATATTATTTTCTATAACGGTGAAGAGGTGCTTAGGCACTGCACCTTTGTGATTCTCTGCGAAATGTATCCTCTTTTGGTCTCACTGTATGCAAGGATCTAGAATCTGGTGTAATTTGTCATATCCCAGTGCCGTTTTAGATCTAACTTCCACGTATGCCATTTTGTCTCTCGGAGCTTGGCTTCCTTCACTTAACATGCTTTGTTCTAGTTCTATCTATTTTCCCACAAATGACATGATTTTATTCCTTGTAACACCTGTGTAAAATTCCATTGTATATATAGTACCACATTTGTGTGTGTGTGCTTCTTACTAGGCAGATTGATCCTGGCCACCACCTCTAAACTCTCTAATACAGCTGGCCATTCGGTGACCTGAGACTTTGTGGGTGCTCATGAGACCTGGACGGATGGTGGCAAATAAGTTCAGCTCTCCCCTGCTGAACGAGGAGAAGCAGCCCATACAAGGCTGCTTTGTTGAGGGGGAAAAATACAGATCTGATCTCTGATAAAGGGGTTGCCCACTATACCCACCAGCTATCTTCATGGGGGTGTAACAGTTCACCCATTCACCCCACATCATATCCTTTTCCAAGTGATTACAGTGTCCCAATTTAATGAGAGTAACCGAGGAGGGACAGTGAGGGACAATTACAGCCTCCTCTAGAAAACACGGTTCAGACACTGAGTCAGAAATGATGAGGACTATACAGAGTCTGGGCAGCTAGAAGGCTCTGATTGGAGAAGCTGGATCCACTGGGCCTTAACGAGGGAGTGACGGACAAAATAGTATTAAGAGTTATCCTCAGGGAGTGAGCGCAGATTGGGGGAGGGGAGGCTGTAGTAGGAACAACACATGTAAGAATAGGGGTGGGGGGGAAGGGGGGACAGGGATTGCACAGGCAAGACCCAGTAGTGTGGGAAGTTAGGAGGTCAAGAAGTCAGGGTGAAAGTGGCTGAGGCCAGACAAGGGGCGACCGCCGGGAAATGAGCGCCTGATGGACCATCTTAAGAATGTTCACCTTCTGCCCAGCGCTGGTGGCTCACGCCTGTCATCCTAGCTACTCAGGAGGCTGAGATCTGAGGATGGCAGTTCAAAGCCAGCCCAGGCAGGAAAGTCTGTGAGATTCTTATCTCCAATAAACCACCAGCAAACTGGAAGTGGCGCTGTGGCTCAAGTGGTAGCTTGCCTGCCTTGAGCTGAAGAGCTGAGGGACAGCACCCAGGCCCAGAGTTCAAGCCCCACGACTGACAATATCAACAACAACAAAAGAATGTTCACCTTCTCCACAGCAATGAATCACTGCATCAGGTGTGCATTTTGAAATCAGCCTTTGGCTCCCAGGTAGGGGAACAGGAGATTAAGGCAGAGATGATGGAGTAAGAAACATCCATGGAGAGACTGTGGGATAATCTGAGGAGAGGAACACAAAGGCGCAATGCCTATGTGCATCTGATCAGATAAAACAGTATCATTGACATGAGCTCCAGGCAAAGGAAACAAGAGGGCTTTTTCCCGTGGTTGTTTTCTTTTTGTCTTGTTTGTTCATTTATCTGTCTTTGGGAGGGTAAGAGGGGGCACAGAAATGGAGGGACAAAAGGGGTGAACAAATGCAGCAGTGGTACTCACTAAACACTATGATGACAGTGACCTATACAACTTGTGGAAGGAGGGGGTTGGAGGGGAAAATCTAGGAGAGAACAAGGGAAAGGGAGAGACTGTCCAAAAACAAATGCACTCTTTACCTGAGTTGTGTAACTGTAACCCCTCTTTGGGAGTACTGCAGACAAAGAGGGAGCTCAACAAATCTTAGCTCTTACCTTTAATTCTGGAAGACTGTCACACGAATCTGTCCTTTAAAAATATATTAGTATATATATTCTATTAGTTAAAAATATATTAGTATATATTATACTATATTATTATAAAATACTATTTAAAATATTATTATATATTATTGAGATATTATTATACAGAGGGGTTACCATTTTATATGTCAGGCAATGCATGCATTTCTTTGTGGACAATGTCACCCCTTCCTTTACCGTCTCCCAGTTTTTTCCTCCCCTTTAAAGGAAATCAGGTCTTCAATTTATTTCAGAGATGCACAAATAAATAAGCGAGTTCTTCTATTTCCCCCAAATCTCCTACAGATGAGCCTGAGGAGACAGCATTCAGGGGTGGGCAGCAGTAGGATAAGG